CTCTTCCAATGTGAGCTTCTCAAGAAGAACGGCTACTGATTAGTTTAGGGGTTGTTATTTACCATCGGTGGCATGTAGGATGAAATGCTGAGCTGGCATCAGGCTTGTCCTGTAGACGTGAAACGCAGGAGAAACAAATATGTGAGTTTCAAGCCATTCTTCTCAGAGTTCATTTTCAGCTCTCCAGAATCTGTCCCTGGTGTGGGTAGGGCACCTTACCCCTCTGGGGATGGAGCAGTGGGTAGTACACTGTGCTTCTTTTCATGTCAGTTTCTGCTCCCCACCCCATCCAGGGGGATCCTAAGCACAGGATAATGGATATCCCATATTACATTTACACTGAAAGGGAGGGAAAAAATCTGGGAATTTTATCTTTTTCAGCAGTATCAGAGAGCCTGGCAGTGCTTTCCCATGGTCCCTGGAGCCAGAAGGGTCCAGCAACAGCCTGGTCTGCCTTGGAGGGATGAGTTGTTAGGCTGAATATGAAAACGCCTGAAAGCACTGTTTAACTGTAGTGCTTCCCCTACTGTGGGTCTGCAGGCTGTGATTTTGCCTGTGCTAATGGTTCAGGGAGGCCAGACACAAAAGGGTTTTCCAGTTGAGGGTCAACAAGAGGTAGCTGAGCAAAAGGAGGCTGCGACACCCAGAAAATCCTGGTCCCAGGAGGTTTTATTCTCAGCAATCCTTCTTCCAGCAGTCCGGGAACTGTGAAAACATAACATAACACACACATGGGAAAAAATAATAAGGTCAAAGCTTCTCATTTTAAGACTGTCCTAAAAAGGTGTGTGCAAAGTAGTGACAAGTGCCAAGGAGGCAATGCTAACTGTTGCTGGTGCTGACAGTTTTGGCATTTTAACACACTGGCTTGACTCCCTGAAAATTAAAAATCTCTGACTTTTTATCTGAGTGAAATTACTGTCCACTAAGATCCAGTCACTTTTAATGCTAGCTGGCTTTGGATTCTAAGCAGACAAAAGTAAACCAACTTTTAAATTCACAGGGAAATTATTTCCCGCCCTATTCTCCCTCCTTTCAGCCTTTCCTTGCCCTCTGACCAAGGTGGCAGCTGAAAGGAACCAGCCATTTTACTCCGAACAGGATTTCAGTCTTGGATGCCCTTTTCTCCCTCATCTGAAAAAGCGGTGAGCCAGATATGACCATCTGGATAAATCCTTCTCCTCTTGGGCATTTGGTCTGCATGGTCAGATCTGTTTGTATTTGCTGAGTTTACTTGATCCTCTGCAAACTAAAATGACTTGATGGCTTTGGAAAGTGGCAGGGTACACATGTCCTAACTGCAGCTCTGCTGCTGGTGCCCTGTAGTGGTTTTCACTGCTCTCTCCTCAGTTATTTTGGCTGTCATCGCACCGTTCTGCTAGGACCTCGGACCGGCCTACAGCTCCATCTGCTAGTCCTGCTTGAGCTTAGTCCTTCGTGGTTTGTTGCGTGGCTTTTTTTCCTGGTGCAAATGTTAACCCCTTGAGGTTAAGATAAAACCCCCAAAACGTGGTCTAGCCAATGGTTCTACTCCTGGGCCCTGCTTACCCATGTTTGCCAGCACACCAGAGAAGCTGTGCTGAGGATGCTCCAAAGTCACCATCCTTGTGTCCCCTGACAGAGCAGCTAGGACACAACTCTTGCAAAAATAGCAGCCTCTCTTGTTCTTTCCCAGACTAAGCCCCTCTGTCGTCTCCATTGTGTGTTGGTCTCAGATCTGAAACACAGTGTGTACTACAGGTAGCTGTGCTGCTACAAGGCTCTTTGCTTTGGTGTGCCATGAAACACAAAGCTACAAACTTCTTTTGGAGGAGGCAGAGTATTTAATTTCCCAGCGGAGGTATTTCCTTTCTGCTGCCCTTTATGCAGTCTCGGGGTATTGGTTGGCAAAGGTATTTGCTCACTTTCCGAGACCACTGTGTGATTCTTGTTTTGTACTGACAGGCATTTGCTGTGCAGAATGGGTGTGTGACAAAGGGGGAGGAGGCACAAAATGGATCTAGTCAGTGAAACTCTCAGGTACCCCTTGATATGGTGGGATCAAATTCTTTGACAACATCAAAACAAAATAAACATTGTTGGAGAACACTGTTCTGTTGCCTCCTACCTCTTCCTACATGCACAGACACACTGCCGATGGCTTGCAGTGAATCACTGATGTAAAATGTAGCAGGGCTTGTGTTTGTCAGGGGATTTTGCTTTAAGAGGAAAGTGTTGTTTTTCTGCTATGCTTTGCTTTACCCAGTATTGTGCTGCTAGGGAGGTGTCCCTACTCTGAAATTCCGTCTCTCCAGGGAAGGGGACTCTGGTGCAGTCAACCATTCCCCCAACATGCCTTGCTTTGGTTGCTTCCCCAAGAGCTGATCAGCCATCAACTCTAGCTCTTGAGCAGCAAGCCATCTTCCAAAGTCCCTTCTCCTTCCTTCCTGGTGCCAGTTAGAGCAGGCTGCTGAGGGCCTTATCCAGGCGAGTTTTGTGTATCTCCAGGGATGGAGTTTCTACCACATCTCTGGGGAACCTGTTCCTGTCTTTGACCTCCCCAAAGTAAAAGTTTTTTCCTCATTTTGAGTCAGAATTTTCCCCATGTTGCAGCTCATGTCTGCTGCTTTTTGCTGTTCACTGTGCACCTCTGAGAAAAGCCTGACTCTGTCTTCTCTGCACCTTCCCACAAGCTACTTGTAGCCAGCAATAAGATCTCCCCTCAGCCTTCTCTTCTTCAGGCTGAACAGACCCAGCTCTCTTAGGTTCTCCTTGTACGTCAAGTGCTATAGCCCTCTGACCATCTCGGGAGCCCTCCAGTGGACTTGCTCCAGTATGTCAATGACCTTCTTGTAGTGGGGAGCCCAAAACTGATATAGCGCTTCAGATGCTGTCTAACAAGCACCATATAAAGGGATATAATCACTTCCCTCCACTTATGGGGCTACGGTCTTGCTAATACAACACAGGATGCTTGGTCTTTGCTGCAAGGGCATATTGCTAACTCATGCTGGACCTGTTGGACCCCCACATCTCCTGGACTGCTTGAGCCTAGCACTTTCACCCTTCCAGCAAGTATCAGGGTGGCTGAAGTCCCTTACCAGGGACTGTGATTGTGAGGCTTCTTCTATCTGTCTAAAGCAGTCTTTGTCCACTGCCTCTTCTTAATCAAGTGGTTGGTAGCAGACACCAACCAACAGGGGTGACACTGTGATACCCTCTGATCCTTACGCCTAAGCTCCCAGCTAGGTCAGCACCCAGAGCTGGGTGCCCTCCAGGCACTCCTTTGCAGAGAGCGTACCTCATCTCCTCGCCTTTCCAGCCTGCCGTTCCTGAAAAGCCTGTATCCATCCCACACAGCACTGCCAGTCCTGAGAGCTGTCCCACCACAGCTCTGTGATCCCAATGGGTTTATAGCACTGTGAATCTGCGTGAACATCTAATTCCTCCTGTTTTTTCACCATGATACTTGCATTGGTGGACAGGCATTTGAGGTGGACCCCCAGCTGTCCTGCTTTCACAAGGGGAGTGCAAAAGCTTTCCCTGTTGTGTTGGCCCCCAGCTGCTTCCTCACTGCCTTCCATGCTGTCACTTCTCCCCAGATTATGGCAATCCTTCCCCAACGTGCCCAGCTTAAACCCCTCCTTGCCTAGGTGAGTGAGCCTGTCAGCAAAGATATGTTTGCCTCACTTTGTTCAACAGGTCCTGTTCCTGCTCAGGACACCTGTCCATGAGTTTGGGGCCAACAGAGAGGGGCTAATGAGCTGTGGGTTGTAAACAATATTCCTATGAATCCAGCAACACAGCTGGAAGTAGTGGGTTGCTCTCTTCAGGCTTCATTTCCTTTTCCGCACCTAGCTCGTAGGCAGCTTTGCCTCAAAAGGACCATCAGCCCCTCCTGCCAGGGAGGGGGAAAGGGGAGGCTGCTCTCTGTTTACTCTGTGGTAAGCAAAGCAGAAAATGATGTTGTTGCATTCCTCGCTACACACAAATTCGGAAGCTGAAAATATAAAAAAAAATAAATTAGAAGATACCTTTTTAGTCAAACTCCCTCACCACCTCTGGGGTGTGAAGCGTGGAAGGGATGTGAGAGAGGAGAGACTGCAACAGCCTGGTCTGCTTGGAGGCCGATACACCAGCATGCTCCATACCTGGAGGTACCTGGTCAGGTCCCAGGGTGGTCATTTTGGTCCCATGACACAAACTCAGTTAGTTTGGAAGGTCATTAAGGATCCTGAATGCATGAGCCATGGCTGGTCTTGTGAATCTTTAAAGACCCTGACATACTTTCGGTGCTGCACCGTGTGAGGTGCAGTCAGCCAGAAGCTACCTATTGCAGGCAGCCCGTGGGGGATCCCTCTTGGCTGAAAGATGTTGCAGAAACCTTCCCGCTGTCACTATTGTGCCTTCCCTCAGCAAATTCCCATTAGCCATGGTGCACATCCCTGCTTCTCACCTCGTCACGGCAGTCGCAACAGAAATGAGCTTAACAGCTCTCCGGTTCAATTCCCAGTGAGAGCATTTGGTTCCATGAGCAGCAGAGAAGGGTCCTGGCTAGCAGCATGGGTTCTGTCTGCCTGTGGGAGGTAGCAATAACTAATACACCCTCTGAGTCAGTGCCTTGAGGCCTGGCACCCTGCAGGAGGATGTAGAACTGCATCTGGGAATGTTTGGAGTGTAAAAATTAGCTGGGACAGTGCTTGGAGCCTGCCAACTCCTTCCATGCAGCCTTGGGGTAGTCAGGCAAGTTCTTAGGGGTTATGAAGGCCCCCAAACCTGTCCAAAAAAAAGCATCGCAGTTGCAGCAAAGGCCATTTCTACCTGCAGATCCCTGAAGCAGTGGTACATATTGTTCTGATATAATTTCAGAAACCCAGGTAGTAATGAGGAATGCAGCCTGTGAGATGAGTCTATGGCTGCCTCTGATTAATAGGTAGGCAGACAGGCTGCCCTCCAGAAGTCAGGGTAATGAGGTCCAACTTTCTTTTGTCTTCACAGTTCCACCAAAGATCTCCAATATCTCCTCGGACATCACCGTGAATGAGGGCAGCAACGTGACCCTGGTTTGCATGGCAAATGGGCGTCCTGAGCCTGTCATCACCTGGAGGCACCTCACTCCAACAGGTAAGAGACCCAACTGGACTCGACTGTGCTGATGATTTGTGAACTATACAGTAGTTTCGTTCTATTCCAACCTCAGTAGACAATTCCGGTAGCAATACGGGCAGCTGTAAAAAAGTGGCAAGAATCTTAAATGCACTGCAAGCTTATTTTGCAGTGTGATTTCCCAGGCACGATAACCAGGTTGTCCGAGGGAACAAAAGAAATTACTTCAGTAGATGCTCTACAGTATTGGACCTGTAATTCTAGCTTTGGTCTTCATCTAGTTGTCCCAATCTCTGCTGCTGGTAATGCACAGCATGGTGGTGGAGAAAAAACACTGCTGGTGCCAGAGAGAGGAGGAAGGATTCTGTTTAGATGCTACATAGAAGAGGTTCTTTCCGAAAACCATGGAATTTGCTTCCCACTGATTTGCCTTAAAAGGGAGAAGCAAACAGTGGCACAAATGATTTCATATTACTCTCCACTTTGGCAGACAGCCTTCCTGTGTCTTGTGAGGTGAGTAAAGGCATTTTATCTTCAAGATCAGTGAAGAGCAGGGTGGAGACAGAATAAAAGAGAACTCACCAGCTTTGTTCTGCTATCTAACTGTGCCTTCCATGATCAGGGACATGGCAAGCTTGGAAGGAGAATATCCTTTCAGTAGTCAGACTCCATGAGGTTAGCAGCTTGGGTTGCAAGGAACCCTCACCTCCTAAAGGTTTATCAGTAGGATGGGAACAAGAGGTAGGTTTCTCTTCCTCTGTATCATGTCCTTTGAGGAGAGAAGAACTCTTTACCTGATTTCTTTTGCCGTCAGATATTCTTTCATCTAAAATGCGTGGGGAAAGCATTGATTAGCTCCATGCGAATAGTCTTCTATGATATCCCCATATAAGTAAAAGGTTAAAGAGGGTTTGAGGTAGGCAGAGTACAAGCTTTCTGCATGTGCTACAGACAGTCAAGCTATCTACTGCAATTCAGCAGCCAGAAAAGGGGAGAGCATTGCAGAAAGAAGGCTGGAGAGAGAAAGGTAGAACGACACATTGGAACAGAGCTCAATCCAAGGGCTGCATCCAGAAGCCCCTGGATTTGGGGCTTGTGGTTCAGACTGGGGTTACTCAGATTTCCTGTCTCATCCCTTCAGCCAAACCAAAGTCTTCCTGAGCTTTCATGTATATGTAAGCCAGATATACAGTTTGTATTTCTGGCCCATTTCTTGCAATACCAAAAGAAGGAAGATGGGGAAAGACTGCCAGAAAGAAATGGGAGGAGCAGAGCTGATGAGGGGGACACTACTCCTCTGTGGTATCATCATCACTACCTGACTTTCCTCTTCTGCTGTTTTCAGTATTAAGCATGACTGTGCCATTTGCATATATAGGGAAATAGAACCTATTCTTTTCACCTTTAATTATGTATATAGATTCTTCTAGCTCTTAAGATTTATTTCATATCAAATTTTCCATCTTACTGCTGCATCAGTCTCTCAGTCCTCCATGAAACTCTTTCTTGTATTCAAGTAGGAGTCACTCCCTAGCTACTCCATGAGCACAGCCTAACGTTGTCCAAGTTAAGGGCATTACAAGGATGCTAGCTTAAATCTTCATGAAAACTAAGGCCTGGTACACGAGATGCGTTGTTCAGGGCACTAATAAGAAGATCCTTGTCCTGACTTGTCACTTTGGCTGCATGTTCATGCTTTGTGTTTTCTTCCAGTTGTACCACCTACTCCATTGTATCAGACACAGACTTCTTTTCTCCCTTTTAAAAAGGTTCCTCAGAGCAAATCTTCATTCTGGCTATCTCCTCCGGTGAGCAACAGGCCTGGGGAATCCCATCCCTGCTTTGACTCCAGGGTCAGTTTTCCTGGGTCTGTTGTTCAGTTTTCCAGCATGCCCCTTCACACTTTTTCTCCCATGCTGTGTGTCTCAGAGGTGTTGCCTTGTTAGCATCCCTCAGCGCCATCTCACTGACCCCCTTCCAATCCATCCTCAGTCCTCTCCTCTACAGAGAAGCCTCCCAAACACCCCCTTCCCAACCGACTAGAGCCAGGGATGAAGGGCAGGCCCCAGTCTGTCACCTCCATGTCTCACTGCTTGTTGTTCTCTCTCTTTTTTCCCCGTCTCAACGCATCCGTTATCTTTTACGGGTACAGAGGAAGTGTTTTCAGGCAGACATCAGGTCTTTGAGCAGCATGTAGCCCAATAAGGCACTTGTCCCAAAATGGGGGACAGAAGGGCTTCTTTTAAATGTTTTCCTTGAGGTTGACAATGAATATAAATTCCAAATCTGGTCCAGGGCTGCTGCAGTTAGAAACACGTCTTATCTTGGAATCTCCCTTTTCCAGAACTGTAAGGCATTTTGGCTCCATTTATGCTAGTTTTGAAGACATCTGCTATGCATCAAAGAGCTATTTTAGATCATTGTAAAGGTTTCTAAAATATATCTCTCTCCTTGGATTTTTTTTCGCGCTTAAACTCGTGACTGCAGAACTGGAAGAACGAGTGTTATTGAGCTTCTGTAGGAGGTTTTGAATGGACAGGTTGTGAAATTATACCAGCATTGGGGGGCAAGAGGGCCAAATCACCTTTTCTTTGTGCACTCTCTTCAAGGAGTTCATTAGCGAATTTGTCTGCTGTTTCATTCATTGACTTCGTCAATAGTGTTTGTTGGCTAATTACCTGAGTTAGGACCGCAGAAATGATTTATTTCTTGTTGGCTGGGAAGTGGAAGTTACAAATGCAAGGGGAAAGTGGCGTTGCTACTTACACAAAGAAGGCAGGGGTGCATATGATAGTTCATTTAAATGTTGCTGGGCCTCAGGATTGATCATAGCCCACTCATCTGCCTATCTGGGAAGCTAAAAAAATTGTTTTGTAAAATGCTGTATCGCTTCCTTTGCTGGTCCTTCAGTGAGCAGTTGAACTAGGCATTTTTCTTGCATCAACTATAAGTCCCCAAGCCTTGAAGCAACTCATAGGAAAAAAACGTCTTCTTACCCCGCGAGATAGCTAAAGTGTGGCTGCGGTTGTTGATTGTAGCCTGGGAGGAAGGCAGGTAAGGGGAAAAATACTTTAATAATTCCAATGTCAAATGACAATACAGATCAGCTTTAATTTAATGAAATCGGGAATGACATTCCTTGGA